ATGTGCACTGATGCAGATGATGCCTTCTCATATGATGTTACACGCTGCATAGCGAATGTCCACCATGAAACTGAATACTGTTGCCGGGCATGGCTATTTCTTATCTGGCAGAAGCCGCAGTATTGGTACAGTGGTACAGGTAAATTCATGTCGTGCGCTGCCACGGATCAGGACCCCCTGCTTCACCTCCGTCTTTGTCTCAGCCATCCACGGGGGAGGATGCGGAAAAGTCGTGTCAGAAGTTCAACTGAAACCCGAATCTGCAAGAGACGAGCCGACAAGCACGAGATGAACCTTAAGCCCGCTACCCTCAAAGGTAGCGGGCTTAAGGTCGTTCAACATGTGTCGCAATTGCATCGTCAACCTTGGTGCCTTCCACTCCAAATCTCGGCCAGACCTGCACCTTGGAGCCCGTAGTTTCAAAGAAGGATTGAAACCCTCAAGCAGTAAGGCCCCTGACATGACAAAGCCTCTCCTGTATATTGATAGAGCCAACCCGGAAAGGCAAGAGCACAAAGCGAATCCAGAGGTAGAAGAAATAGAACCGCGGCATTGACAAGCACTTCCAACACAGAGTTACAGACACCCATTCAAGCGTGGCTTGAGCACTTCAGACTATGCAATGCTATAACATGCCCGAAATCATTACTCTGAGTACTGATGTCCCTCCATTAAGCATCAATCCCTAAACCCTAAACATTAATTAATCCTAAACCCTAAACCCTCAACCCTCAACCCGGCCTCAACCCTAAACCAGGCCAGAACCGACTGTGGTGAATGAGGAAGAGCTTTCACAGCAAGCGAAGCAGGCCCGGCAGAATCGCGAAGAAGGGGTAATGCAGGGGTCGAAAATTACAAAAGTAACTTTTGAGGGTGCATCACTACAACGAGAGTATGATGTACCACCCCCCCAAGCTTTAATCTTATTATTAAAGCTCCTCCGTTATGTCAGGGTCCTGGGGGATGTTTATGTGCAGACCTGCATCGCTTCGGATGTGAATCCTTCCGGTCTGCTACCATAACAAGCTTCAATGGCCTAGTCTAATACTTGGGCTTTAGCTCGATCCCGATATAACCATATAGACATATAGAACCAGATGAACCCTGGTAAGCCCTTCAGGGCGCGATTTTTGCCATGCACTTTCAGGTTTGAATGTCTTTCATGGGGCTTTATGGGGGGCTGTGGTAGGGGCCCAGGGCCTGGGCATTAATTTGGGTTGTGGGACTTGGACTTTGGCGTTTTAGGCGAGAGCCAGAATCTAGAAACTATCGAGGTCTGGGTCTTTAGACATGTTCCTGGCATGCACTTGTAAGTGATATGGGATCCTGCGCAATGAGACCCTGAAGCCGAAAGCCGTACACCACAAAACCCAAAGCCCTCAACACCCAAACTGTGAGCAACTTGTGGGTAGTTCTCTAAATTAGGGTCCCTTTTTGGGTCCTTTTTATAAGGGTGTCGTTCTTACTACACTGGGTACCCCAAGAAAAGGGACCCATAATTCAGAGAACTACCCATGTGGGGGATGAGAAGTGGGCTTCGAAGGCCAAACTTAGCAGAGCTAATCCGCTTCGCCTCGAGCGAGAGCTTCCGACCCATGGTTTACCAGGTAGGCTTTTAGGGTTTAGGGTTTATAGGGTTTTGGGTTTTGGGTTTAGGGTTTAGGGTTTAGTAGAGATTTAGGGCTTGGGATATTTTATATTTTCCCTTATTGGTATTAAGGGGACAACCAGTTTACCGTGTCGGCTTGAGAGATTTAGGGTTTGGGGTTCAGGGTCTCCGGGTGTCGCGCTTCACAAGTTAATGCTTTGCTGCTATGGGCTTTATGGATTTGGGGTTTATGAGGCCTCAACTGGAAACCCTATACCCTAAATCCTTAAATCCTAAAGCCAACACTCTTAAGCCGTAAATCCTAAAACCCCAAACCCTGAATCCCAAACCCCAAACTCTAATAGGTTTCGTGTTCGGGGCTGCGTTGCAGGCCATGGCAGCAGCTGCTGCAACTTTGTCTCAAATCGAAGCCCTCACGGTTCAGACGACTCTGGCCGATCGTGGGGCTTAGGTAGGGTCCAGGGTAAGCCTCGACTAAGGAGGAACTTGTCCTATTGACATTGCTTTTAAGCTATCTCCATGGTCATTGTTACGATCGTGCGTGCTATAATCGCCACACGGTCTTGGGGCCCTAAAGGCCTCATGAGTTCTGAGCACAGGCCACCAGCAGGTTGCGAGCATCACAAAGTTGCAGAGACTAGGAAACCCAGAACACACTCTACCCGCAGGCATAGAGGAGACACGCATGAAGGCAGGCCCCCCAAAAGACTGGATCAAGCTCCAAACTTCTTCGGCACCCGAACACGTTCAACTTCAATGCCGATAATATGGGGGCCTGGGTGATCACCAGTGTGATTCCTTATAGGGTTCCCTGGTGTAAATGATCTATAATGACTATAATGTACCTCGAGGCCCCCATTCTATTTACTCAGGCCCGTAAGTGGCGCTAGACTTGGAGTGCGAGGGGCCTCATCCCAGCAGCCTTGCACCTTTGCGCTTTCCTGAGACCCGAAACACCGACTCACAGCAGTAGCCTGGCAGGACTTATGGAGGTTCTGAGCTTATGTTCCGGGGTTGATGGGGCCATCTGAAGAAGGCGGAAGTCCTGAGTTTGGGCACAGCAGAAGCTCATGTAAGACCTAAACTCATGCCGAAGAATTGCTAGCTTTCGGATTCTAATCCTTCTTTTGTAGCCGAGGCGACGAATCTGCGTCTTCGAAGACAGGTGCAACCGCCAGCCCTGTGGTGTACTTGTGCTGAAGCTGACAGCCTGTCTTGCCTGGTGTCCTCGACACGGAGAGGTTCCACCGGCACAGGCAATGCCAGAGCAGCCACCAGCGTGCTCTGCTCAGCATCTCACGAGCGGCATGAACTTGCTGCACCTTTGATTTGACTTGGTCATGTGCACCATGAATCCACAGGCCCCCGGCAGTTCCGCAATCACTGCCGAATGCGCAGGCATGCCTGGACTGATATTGGCGCTCCACTTGCTGATGCCTGCACTATTCCTATCCTCAACCGACCACGAATCCGAAAGCCTAATGGAGTAACCCGGCTTCCTCGTTTGTGGGTTTCTTCGAGTCTGTCAGCATAAGGACCCTAGTCTTTGGGCTCATGTATCTTCTGAATCTCCCGTTCGTGCGTTGGCCAGACCATGGCGCCGGCTTCACTGGCAGCTGTGCTCCAGAACATGGCGGGTGTTCCACAGGCTCGGACTCAGAAGGCACTGTTGTACATAGACAGCGGCTAACCGGCTTTTTGACTTGTGAAACCCTCAACTCGCCAAAGAAAACTGCCACGATGATCCCTCAACCTGTAATCCCTAAACCCTGAACCCTAAACCTGGCAGGCAATGATGGGACACGGCATGGGTCTCCAGGCAGCGCCCCCAGATGTCAAATCACGGCCTTGCCACGGACAGCAGACTTGCGAGATTCTGAACTGTTGTTGTTGCCGGCAGAGGGCTGAGGTATTAGCAGTATGTATGTCCAGTTACTGGCTCGTGCTAGTCGATCGTGGCACATGCCTTCATGCCGCCGACTCGAAGATCTTGCTCCGCTCCGTTCGTTCCCCTCAACCTGATGCGTGTTTGTGCTATCTTGTTGCTTCATTTTTCACTATTATTAGTGATTATATGAATATTGACATTCCTAGCAACCTAGTACTATCAGTATTACTATGGTGAAATAATGAGCATTATTGTTGACTACTATGTTTGTTATGACCATAGTTAAGTTCCTTGCATGCCAAGTGGCTCCGGCCTCCGATCTCAAGTGTTCGAGGCACTTGTTCTGTTGATTTGATTTGAGTTGTGGGGTTCAGGATTTAGGGTTGGGGGGTTTAGGTGTTTAGGGATTTAGGGTTTAGAGGTTTTTGGTGTTTTAGGGCTAGAGGATGATGGCGCCGAGGGAGGTTCGTTCTCGCCCGAGCAGTTCTGAGTTCCCTATATGCTACAACTGAACTCCGAAAGCAAAAGATTCAAGGAGTTGCAATGTCATCCCGGACCCGTTTGATCAGAATCGCGCAGACACCGAAGGCACAGAACCCACAGATGCCCAACATGCTGCCGCCGGCGCAGGCCTCAGAGGAGACGTTTGCAGAAAGAGTACAGGACTCTCCGCATAGGCAAAACAAATATGCACTATGAAACTTACCATGAAAAGATATAGTGCATTATAGTGCTGCATTGCCAATGAGCGAACCAAATGCCTCCATACTGCCCTTAAACCCTGCGCACACCCCGAACGCCCCAAAATCAGAAATCGAGCCCCTCAAGTTCTTATGTTTGTGGTTTTTGATTTGATTGTTCTTGACAAAGCCTCGTTGAGGGGCTCAGTTTCTCAAGCCAACGATTGCTTAAGCAGTGCTGTCGCTGTACCAATTCACTACTATTCCTTGCAGTTCCGGCTTCTGTTTACAGTACTCGTACATCAAACCCGAACACCTTGTTCTAACTATTGAGGCTCCTATAATCCAAGACTCATCCTCCCCTTCTGAAGACCAAGGCAAGAGACTTGGTGCAGCAGCGGCTGAACATGGCACCAAAGACGGGGCCTCGTCGAGAAGGTAGTAAGGTAACAAAAGACGCCTATGTAGTTACTAATACTATTCATCGGGGTTCCTTGTTCTAACTACAGTAGAATCAAACCCAAAGCCCAATTATAACTATGAAGGCCCTATAATATTCGTGTAGGAAAAGTGTTAGGACACACAGATTCTCGGAGTCATTTCAGAGTTGTAACTGCACCTTCTGGAAGGTGGGACCCGGGATCGCTCATGTTGAGACATTCCCAGCGTTTCGCGAAGGCTCCACAATGGTAGTATATACATACATACATATATACATACATACATACATACATACATACATACATACATATATATATATATATGGACCCTCTTGGTATCTTGCATGAAACGGAGCGAGCAGTGCACAGAGGGCTTCTTTGGAATGGAGACTCGTTTTCCTGATGTTGGGTTTAGAGTTGGACCGCTCCTTTTGGAGGGGCTCTCTGCAAAACCCATCACGCCTAGGAGGATCCTACTGTGGAACAGTTTAAGCCTAAGCCAGCCTAGAAGGGGCTTGATATGCCGTTTGAGGCATTTTGGGTACACCCCATGTGTCGCAGCGGGGCACGAAGCTCCGCTTGATCCGACCGAAATACAAGAAAACAAATCCTTCAAGAAAGAGCCGCTTAGGGACTCTCAGCCAAAAGCGCCTCGGTTTCGGCTTCAGGGGATTCCCAATCTGCCGACCAGAGAAACTCAGCGCAGGCCCGTTCAGCCGCCAGCTCCGCCGGAGCCCGCCAAGAAAGAGGACATCCTCAGTGCTAGTTGTGCCATTTCATCCGCACAGGCTTCGGGTTTAGCGTTTGGGGCTTGGCTTAGGGTCGACCATTCATCAGGTAAACCTCACATGCGCTGATGACAAGACCTTCATCATAGTCATAGTAACGTGAGCATCCATGCAGGAAGCAGCTGCACGTCCAGGCCGCGGTGCGGTGTTTCTTGCATTGCCTGCTGCGTAACAAGAATCTGGACTTGTCCTTCGGACCTCAGCAACATCGAACCTCACCTCCCCAGAAGCTGAACCGAAAACGCGGCATAAAGGAAACGTTGCCCACAATGCTACCCTCACCTCCATCGAGCCAGACACCTGGACACCAGACAGGGACTTGTGAGCCTGGCTTGAAGTATGCGCTACAAGTAGGACCGCAGCCCGTAAAGGAAAAACAACAAAGAAGCAGCGAGGCAATCAAAGAGCCGCCAGGAGCACAACACATCACAACACTCTAGCACAAGCCCACAAAGTTCCAAGCCGCACAGAACTTGACACCCTAAACCCGAAACCCTCATTCATGGGAATGATAGCTACGGGGTGGAGCATTGGCATTGATGGTGTTGCAGGTGAATCCCATCAGTCTGGGCCTCCCGAACCCCGCCTCAGCCAAACTGGCTTTCCCAAACCTCTCAGGCGACGGAAAAGAGGTGTCAAACAAAAAAAACCTGCCCCCCTGAAACCCAAAGTCCCAAAGTCCCTAAACCCAAAGTCCCACAGTCCCTGAAACCCAAAGTCCCCAAGTCCCTAAACCCTGAACCCCAGGCCCTAAAGTCTCAGCCCATCCTTTCACACGAGCTGCGGCTCTTCTGAGAGGCGAGCGTCCAAAGGAGGAGAAGCCGCCAGCTCCGCCGGAGGAGGACCAGGGTGGTTTGGCCTTCAGTTGGTAACATAAAACAGTGTTTTTGCGCATACAACAACCTATGTGTTGTGTGTATATATGTATATATACATACACTATACATATATATATAATATATATATATATATACATACATATATATATATATGTGTATATATATATATGCGTACATAGATATGTGTGAGTATAGGTATATGTACATGTATTGGTATATTTGAGTATGTATATACATATATATATACACATGTATATTAGGTGTGTGTGTGTATGTGTGTATGTATATATATATGTATATGCATATTCATGTTTGTATATATGTATGTATGTATGTATGTATGTATGTATGTATGTTTGTATGTATGTATGTATGTATGTATGTATGTATGTATCTGTGTATCTGTGTATATATATATATGTATGTATATAGATATATAGGCCCCCCCCCCCCTCCCCCGTGTACCTACGCCTTTCCTGCCTTGACCTGCATTGGCTCTTTGGGTTTGTTGGGACGGGACCTCTGGGTTTCAATGTTTTGGGCCCGCATATCACCAAAATCTTGGGACCTTCTGCACATCTCTAGCTAGCTGATGTTCTGTGACTTCTGCGACTACGACCAGCTATTTATTGCTTCAACGAAATACAAAGAAAGCTTCAGACTGGTATTCGTTTCACATTTCATGTTCACATAAACCTTTTGTTTTTTTGCATTATTATAAAATGTATATATATATATATATTGCTGAGTTCTTCCTGGTAAAAAAGACTTTGCCACTGTTCAGTTGTATTCGAGCGCCAGAGTGCCGAAGTAGCCCATCTGCACCCTCAATATATGCTTGTCCGGGTGCTTTCGTTGTTTGACTGTCGCGTATCATTTGCACATAGTACTTATTCAGACACCTTACAAGTATTCGACTTCAGTCATACCTATCGAGCATTAAACCTCTATTTGGTGGAATACTCGTTTGGTAGTTGAGTAGTGTAGGCTGCATGTTCGCAGGTAAGTCGCTCATTGAAACTCCAATATTGCACTGGTTTTGTTTAGCGTATAGTATTCACGTCGTATTCAGGCGGTGCATCGCTTTTATAGGTTTGTACGATAGTTATCATTCTGACAACGAAACCTGTAAATGTTAATTCTATACTCATCGAACATGTGATGTTCACATACACCTTAAGCAAAATTCCACTACTAAATGCTTCATTCCGTTGAGATCTAACCCAACAGCTATTTCATCGTCTAAATATTTGACTAATATGTACACAACGAAATTTTGTAGTGTTCCAGTTCTGCATACGGCATTCCATGGCTTAGCTCTTCTCAATGAAAGAAGTGGTAATCATTACTGAAGAAAAGCTAGCTCTTGTTACGGCCTGGTTAGTTTTCTGTCTCTTTGGTACTACTGCACCGATTGCCTGTTTAATGAATGTTACACTTCATGAATATCTGAATACTGCATGCTGCGTGGCTTGAGCAGGAAGGCAGAACAACACGAACCATTCAACAGCAAATATTAACCTGATATTGACTGGGCATTTAGTTCTAGCAGAAGCAATACTGGAGGTTGTTTGAAGTCGTATGCGTACTGGGGGGGAAGCCATTCGGAGCAAGTCCGGTCAATCGGCATGGACATACTTTAATGGACTGGATGTTGTATCTTTGCGCGTGCACATGGGGTTAAGCTGTTTGACATGGGTTTTGCACGTCATGATACACCTCCCTGCTGCCTGACAAGTTCGACTTTGTTTATGCAATTCCAAAAGACCCTGTGCTGTTCGAGACCCTGAAAAGCAGCCTGTCTCCTCCTTATATAAGCTGCTTATACGCAGGGGGTCTCGGTCAGCCTGATTAGGGCAGCCGAGGGAGGGAGGGAGGGAGGGAGGGAGGGAGGGAGGGAGGGAGGGAGGGACCGAAAAGCCCCTAAATTCCTAATTACCGTAAGCCCTACTCTCACAAGCCCTATAAAGCCCTATGAGCTCTTACGGCCGCAAAGCAAAGAGAGGCAGGGTGAGAGAGTCGTCAAGTCAGGCGTTGAAGCTTAGCGGCACTGTTTGTTGTTATTGCTCTAATTAATGATACTACTATGTGAGACTATGTGAGTTTGGATGTTTTGGTCTAGGGGAAGGGGGCCTTTTTCAGAGGCTTCAGGGTTCGCGGGCAGTTTTCAAGCTCGAAATCCCCATAAACCCTGAGCCTCGTCTACGCCCCAGATGACCGAGACCTCTTTGGAAAACCTCAGAAGGGTTGTTGATGTTAAGTTTGAGCTGGGGTGAACAGCTTCTTTGCCGCTCGCTACATTCTAGAATACCGAGAGAAGCATTATTGTGTTTGGCTGTTGCGAAGTGCCCTATAGAAGTCATGCTTTGAAGGACTCCGAGCTCATACGCGCGGGACTTGGTTCTTTGTAACTTGAGCGCTTGTGCTTCTGAGTGGATGCAGGGCTTCGTATTAAGAGTTTGTAGGTTCTGAGTTCTTGGATTGTGTGATTGTCGGGATGGTGGCTTCCGGTTACGTTCTCAGGCTTGAAGTTCAGATTCGGCGCATGGCCTCGACGACGGCGAGACTCTGCTTGGGGCGGAGTGTAGGCCATGTGGGACTTTCCGAAACTTAGGATACCTTATTTTGGGGTCCAATATAATGAGGATCCTACTATTTAGGGTACTATATTAGGGTCCCCTATTTTCGGAAACCCCCATGTTGCTACAAGCCATATTTGCAATCACTTCACTGCCTAAGTTCAGCCAGGAGCTGCAAGGCTGAGATCCCGAAGCCTTAAATCCTAAAACCCTAGACCGTCAAACCCTGAAGCCATGAAGACCTAAAGCCCCAAAGCCAAAAATCCTAAAATCCTAAAGCTCAAACTCTGAATTACCCTATTATATATATATTATATATATATATGATACATATATTACATACATACATACATATATATATATATACATACTATGTTACTATGCTTTCAAAGACCCTAAAGTGGAGCAGACCAGCCTGTCACCGAGGCTGCCATCTCCATAGGAAGCCACAGCTGAGCTGCAAGATTTGCCGCCGAGTGACCTATCGATGCCCTTTTACTTCGTGTAATCAGGGATCGGAATCATGTGTAGCCCTCTTCCACAGTTCTTTAAGGAAATATTATACTATAGTTGAGTTTTCGTTTTGGGATCTATTTCAGTCTATAGCGGGTCCCGAAACCCTATTCTAATTATGCGGGCCCCTATGTATATTATGCTGAAACTTGATGGCACAGCTTGCTTCTGCACTCTTTTGTATCTGTGGCTTCCAGTTCGTGCTACGAATATAAGCCGGCGACACTGCTGGGGACAATACTCTGAAACCACAAGGATGCGTGCACCTGCTTTGAAGGACACTTTTGCTTTTGATGGTACCTATGCTAGTTGTCACTTGGAAGCTGTTGGGTGCAGCTGGGCCGTGCTTGCAACTCCGTTAGTCCTCTTCCTTCAGCTTTGCCTCCTCTTTTGCAGGTATACTATTCGGCGGTTGATCCAAACTCGCAGAAGAAGGACCGTCAAGCTTTCAGGCTTCCTTCGCATAGCCAGAAAGCATGCCATCCTCCGCAGGGCATGTTTTCTTTGTCATCATACTGCTAAGTACCTGCAGTATGCCCCCCCTCTAGGGGTTCTCGAACCATGAACCTAGTGTTGTGATAGGAGATCGCATTTTTTTTGCTTGCCTTACTCGGATGCAGGACGACAAGAAGGGCTCTGACAGAAAGCCGGAGGACGAGGCTCCTGGCGCCGCAGACTCAATTCTGCTTGAGGTCGGAGCTTCTGAAAATCTGACGGTCTTTGTCTGGAGATGGGAGCTGTGGGAGTCGGTTTTTTTGAGCCGAAGTCATCCTTGACCGTTCCTGACAACACGGAGCTTCCGATTGATTGCTTGGCTGAGGCTCGGATGCGCGGTGCGGAGGCCTTCGAAATCACCAACAAGCAGACCTACAACTTCAACTCGATGTCAGAGGCTCATCAGCCCAGGTCCCACACCAAAAGGATTCCAGCAGTGGGTGGCAGCACCTTGCACCACCTACGTCGGCATGTAGGCGTTAGAAAAATTCTGCAACTTCAATATGCTTACGGAACAGATGTTTGAGTCTGCGGTCGGGCATGGAGTTCGGAACCGAGAGTTGTGTATCGAGGCCCCGTCTGTTGCGAGTCCCTCGACGCAGATCATGGTGATGATGTATGACTTCTGTTGTGGTTGTTATTGCCGTTATTGCTAATTATCATTTCTGTAGCTTCACCGATGAAGTACAAATGTCGTTCTGGCGACGATCCTGCTTTGAAGATGTTCTTGTCGTCTCTTTGCCACTAGTACATTACTGAGAGTGATCTTCACATCACTCATCGTGAACACCCTTGACATGTCTGAGAGTTCAGGTTGCGAGATCAGATCTTGAAGAACACGTACTTCAAGACGCTGCTTAGCTGCAGGTTATACAAAATGAGTGCAATCCTCCACCTGCTTCCTCCCTTCAGGCTTGTCAAGATCGATACTTTCGAGGGCATCATGGACGAAGCTCGCCAGCAATGCGACCATTCCTGAATGAAGGGAAGATCGGGTACTCTGCGCAGACACGTTGCACAGCTCCACCGACCCTGGAAGCTTCAGGAGATGTATCAGTATGTGGAGACAGCCGAAACCTATGGTGGCGGCTCTACGCATGCGGCCTCAGTGCAATTTCCGTCACTTCGGGTTCACAGTAGGCGAGGATGCTTCGCATGTACGGCTGATTTGGTTGGGTCCGGGCATGCGAGAGAGCCGCAGCTGCCATCAACTGACCTCATGGGTGCCCCTGCCGCTTGACGATCTGACCCCTATTTAAATGTGCGTGCCTCCATCCGCCATCCCAAACCGTGAGCAAAACCTTGATTGGTCACTAATCTCCCAGGACGGTCCCCTCCAGCTTGTTCTGCTGCCTGTATCGTTTGTTTACCATTGGCGTCTCTGGCATGTTTCCGGGGCATGCCGCGATGTCTCAAACAGTCCTACTGCCGCGAAGCGTCGAAACCATTCTGAAATTCAATGTATTTGTGCATGCATGTTAATACATGCGTACGTATATGTACATAAGAAGATGAATATAGAAACACAAACAAGTAATCACATGAATGATTCAATGGATGAAATGGAATGAACGAAGGAAGGGAGGAAGGAAGGTAGGAAGGAAGGCAGGAAGGAAGGAAGGAAGGAACCAACGACGGAATGAATGAACGAATAAATGAATCAATGAGTGAGTGAGCGAGTGAGTGAGTGAGTGAGTGAATCAATGGATGGATGATTGACTGAATGATTGAACATGTGCATATGTGCGTGTATATATATATATGTATATGTATACACACATATGTATGTAATTATGCATGTTTGTATGTATGCATCTATGCATATATACAAAATAAGACTGCACCATATGCAACACTTTCGGCACGCAGTTCGGCAAACTTGTGTGGTCGGGCATCAGTGGCGGGCAGGATGCCGATATCGGACCATCGCCCTATCAGCCGACCCCATTAGCTATTTCGAATCGCTGTATATAATGTACCCTCCCTTGCATTCCGAGGTACCTAAACCCTGAAACCTGAACTTGCTTCGTGGGTCTTCAGAGCCTGCAGGTATAGCCGCAGATCTCCAGGCCCAAGAGCCCCCCGATCTTGCTAATTCTTCTGGTCCTCTAGGTGAATTCCTAAACCCCAGGCGCACCCTGCAACCCCACAAAGCCCTTAGTTCTCCCTAAACCCCTGGCAGAAGCCAGGTTTGTCCTACGATGAGCTGAACTTGCTCTGCGAGTCCAAGGCCTGCTGTGGAAACAAAACTGTAGAAACACTGAGTGGTGCGACTAGTAGCATCCGCATCACCGGAGTGGCAACAACAACGTTTGTGGTCGGCGCCATGAGCAACAACATGCAAGCACAAATAGCTTCGGCAGCACAAGCCATGGTCTCAAGTCTATCATGGTATATGCTCTCGGCAACATTGATAATTGCTGTTATTGCGCATGTCAGCTTCTGGGCAAGACGAGTGATTCTCGTCTTTCAGTCTGCAACTCCTAGCTTCCAATTTCGAGGATTGGCCCTACATCAGATGCTGCGGTTTTCTCTACATCCGTTTCGGCCACGAGCCAAGAGTCACGTGTGGGTGGGAGTAGTAGGGAATGCCTTTTGTCATGCTCACTTCAAGCATTGAAAACATTTTGTGTTTTCGAAGCCTGTTGTGGCGTGAGTAGTTGTGTTGAGTTTGAGCCATCTGAGAGGTTTTCTCCCAGGCGACTCTTAAGATCGGTTCTGCTATGTTCTGGTTGTGGCGGAGTCTGGACCTCGACCTTTGTTATGCTGCACTATGGGGGAAACCCGTGAAGCCTGAGAGCTGCTGTTGGAATTAGATTCAAACAGAGCAAGCACACACACACACACGGACTCCTCTCTGTGTACATACAGACAGGTTCATACACGCATACAGACAAATTCTATGCGTATGTTTGGCATACAGACATACAGACACCGACGGACAGGCAGAGAGACTTGCACACATTGCTAGATACGTGCGTGCATATATACCTACTTCATACCCTGTCGACCTGCCATGACCTACTGACCTACGACCTACCTACCTACCTGCCTACTTACCTACCTACCTGTCTACCTATGTGTCTCCCTTCATGGCCTGCCCGCCTGGCTAGCCAGCCACTTATTTGTGTACCGGCCTACCCGCCTACCTACTTACTTGCCTGCACATATGAACATACGATGATATGATACATGCATACATCGGGAGAGAGCGACAGAAAGAGAAACAGAAGGATACGTACTTGTAGATAGATAGATAGATAGATAGATAGACAGATAGATAGATAGATAGATAGACAGAATATGTGTACCTGTATGTATATCTGTATGTATATATATATATATACGTATACATACACACACACATATATATATATATGTACATATACATATGCATACATACGTACATGCATACACACATACATACGTACATACATACATACATACATACATACATACATACATACATATATGTTACATACCCACATACATATACATATGCATATGTTTATACGCGTACATGTGCATATACATACAAACATACTACAGACATGAATGCATATACATGCATATATATACATACATACATACATACATACATCGATACATCGTTCTTGCATTTACATATCTCTGCAAGCTTGCTGTGGGACAACTCGCCAATAGCATAGACATAGACACACGCGTGGATAGATAGATTGGTTACCGGACGGACAGTCAGTATCCTGCAGCGTCCTCCACGTAAGACATCATGCAGCCATAAAGCAACCAAGCAGAATTCCGCCGCATCAAGGTTGTGCTCCCGAGAAGCTTTGGGACTTCCTGGGCGAGTACTGCGTCGACGACCAGGAGTATGGCACTCGTAGGGTCACGGTCTTGGGATTTGGGTAGGGGATTCCAGGCCTTAGTTTCTAGAGAGTTGTGGCCAACCTTGCCCCCCGAAACCGCTGAAACCCGCAGTGATTGCATCTTTCCCTGAGCAGGGCTTTGGCTGGTAGGCATCTTGCTGTTGTCGTATTTTGGTAGTGTTGCCGACGAAGGGTGGTGGTGCTGCTGCTGTTGCTGCTGGTGCTGCAAACTGCTGCATGTGATGTGGCTCCAGTGTTGAATGTTTGCATTTCTTAGGCTGTCAGACGGAAGGGGGCGGGGTCTATTTTCAGAGCGCTTGGGATCTCGACCGCCCAGAGTTCAGGATCGGCTTGCGTCAAGCCCACAACCACAGAAGCACGCAGACACGATCCATGTGCTTGCCAATACAGACTTCCGCTCATCCTTGCACCCAAGCCCTTGTTATTGGCTCGCCGGGCTCGCCGTCTACATCCCAATCAGGTTTGAGCCCTCGAAATCCACGCCTGGCTTCGTTGTCACCATCGGCGAGTATGTTGAGGCTGGTGATGCGGAACTGGACTGCGACATGGATGCGAACAGGATTCGTAGAAATTCAACAGTTGCTTTGGATTTACTGCATCAAGTATCTTGAAACCAAGAGTGTATGTTGTTGCCTTCACTCCAAGTTTAAGCATAGCAGCACCTGCAGAATACCCTCCCGTGCCCGTGACAACTCCCGTGTTCGTTGCTTAGTTCGGGCCACGCCTACCCATTTCAAGCGGCACTTGCCTGACAATCAAAGATTGTTCGGGGGACACTATTTTTCAGTGGGTGCCTGTGATCTTCGGATTCAGATGCTGCTTCGGGCAGATGCTCGAACACGTGGTCCGGGTTCGCATGGTGTTGACACAGCCGTCAAGCTGCTGCATTCGCGCATTCCTAGAGTCCTAGAGCGAACCACTGAGCTTGCAGAACTGGAATCCCCAAACCGTGCAGTCCTTGCTTCTGGATGAGCGATACTACTACTCGGCCGGGACCTCGGGGCCTCGAAGTGGCGCAGCCAGGTTGAGCCTTAATCCTAATCAAGTGGGATGTAGCACGAGTCATCGATGGACTGCTGCCTTCCAGCACGCCATTCGTCGCGGGCTTTGTGGGAGCTTGCTTCAGCAGCCTGTGACATCGTGTTGCCAGAGCCGTGCGTGCGACATCCGGTCGAGCTGTCAGAAGTCATTTTCATTAGTATTGCTACCACCACTATTGCAAGTATTATTACTCTTATCATCGTTACTAATTACCAGTAGTCTCATTCTTATTATTGAAACTAGTATTCTGCGCCAGACTCTCCCTCGCATCCCTGTGGGCGTGAAGAAGAAGATCGAGGAAAAGGCTCCCTCGTCCGGGAATGGCGTTGCGTCGACGCAGAACTTGGCTACTTAAGAAGTCTATGGGATTTAGTCGCTATAGGGTTACTTTAAGGGATTCCTTAAAGGGGTTTAAGGCTTAAAGGATCATGGGATCTGGTCACCAGATTATTTTCTATATCTAAGATAACTATACCTATAATTGCCTACAGTCCCAATGAAGGTACTGAAGTAGAGTGCCCAGCCAGAAAGGACGAAACTGTGGTGCAACAGTGAGAGTATTCTTTCGCAGCCAGTGATGTTTAGAGATGTCAGGAGCGAAATGCCCTTCGTAGTCAGCGCACAAGCTTGGCTGCAATCTGCGAGGTGGCACCGCTGGGGCAGTGATGCGCTCGGTGTCCAGCAGACAGTGCACATAAACAGTGCATGGCCTGATATGCCTGGACTTCGCGCAGAGTCTCAGCAGAACATGGTCAGTTAAGGTACCGAAAGAGGGCAGCCCAGAACAAGGACATGCTCTCAGCATTCAAAGAGGCAGGAACACCAGTGGAGGCCAGGCAGATTCACGGCACTGGAGTCCGCAGATTGAGGTTTCTACTCCAGTAATTACCAAAATACGATGTGCAATAGTACTCAAACAGTACGAGCTTCTTCTGAGAAGTCAGTGAAATGCTGCCACATCCCACTCTTCTTGGACCCTAGAGTTGGATCCTCTGAGAGCCTGGTCGTCAATAGTGAGTGTGGAGGACTACTTCATCACTCTGGAGTCCCCTCACTACAGTTGATGATATAAATCCTGCATTACGTTAAGGACCCTAAACTATGGAAATTATGGTACATTCCTTATTATGGGTAATGCAGGATTTGTAGCATCCACCGTATGCTCGTCTCTCGTTTAAGCAGGGCACCATCTTACGATCGCAGCTTTGCTTCCCCTGGCTCTGTGCTGATCCCGGCGTTGACATCCGAGGACCCACAGCTGTCCCTGTGCAGCAAAGCCCTGAGTCCGAGACTCGAAACCTGACCCTGAGCCCTAAACCCTAAACTGCAGCAGGCTTGCCGCGACAACGGTGTTTGGGTAGTGGGCCAGACCCTGCAGGTCATCGAGTGCAGTCCCCGGAGGAGTGTCTAGGATGGAGGAATGTAGATGGGTACTTCGGAACGGTACTGCGCAATCTCTGTAGTAAAGTATACAAGTGCAGTTACTGGAACCGCTGCTGTGTCAACAAGACGCACAGGACCTAGGACAGGACCCGGTGCATTCCCACCTAGGAACCCTCTGCCTGATGACCATCAACCCCCTCCATCTCTCAACTTGAAACGTATCTACAAGAGCACATGCATAGTAGCATGAGTCGGCATATGGTCAAGAATGACAAGGGGCTGAAGTGTTAGAGCATCTCAAACAGGGAGTATCACCTGCGATTCCGGCACATAGAAAGCAAAGCAGTGATGATGTTGGTCGTGTTATTCACAAGCTTCGGGTAGTTAATAGCAGTGCAAAAGATACCCCGATGGCTTTAATTGTAGTTCGAAATCCGTTAATAACTGTTGCAGCAGCAGTAAGCACTTCCAATATTCGCATCGAAAGTCGAAAGATACAAACGCCGGTGACACTTAACATTGCAGCGAGCATGACAACATGAGGTAACACATGGGCAATCCTGTCTTCATCACGCCAATGGCCAAAACAGCTCCATTGCTGTTGTCACCACGACCATCATCGTCATCATCACCAGCATCATCATCATCCCTATCATCATCACCATCATCATTGTCATCATCGCCGTCATCAAAGCATCATCCTCGTAGTCATCGTCGCCACCATCACATGTCGAATCGTCATAGTCGTCGTCATCATCACCAACAGCAGCACCATCATCCTCATCATCATCACCATCATCGTCACCGCCCGTGTATCGGCATCAGCATGTAGCTGTTGCTGGTGTTGTTGTGGCAGCAGCAGCAGCAGCAGCAGCAGCAGCAGCACTAGTAGTAGGGGTAGTAGTCGTCCTCGTGAGAAGAAGAAGTAGAGAATAGCACAGACTGACATAGGTATCAAGCTGCAAGATAGACTGTCCCAGCAATCCGTCAACACCTAGGTCGGTTCCCAGCCGCATCGCCGTCAGAATACGAGCGCGGCCCTGATATTCATGAGAAAGGTTCGGGCGCAGCTCATTGTGTAGGGTTCAGCGCCATTGTCAAGGCTTTCGGCAATATGGGGTTAAAGGTTGAAATCTTCGTGGATGTTGGACCTAGGGTCACGTGGTAGTGATGGCGCGCTAAATGCAAAACACCCTCTTGCCGGCCACATCTTGTTTGGCGTGTGCCAGGAATCGTTCCTTTGCAACTCTAAATAATATGTGGGAAGTCCGCAGTTGGCCGGTGGACGCGGTGGTGCTGATCATGATAGCTGTGATGAAGATTGGGACCGGCATGCAGACGATGAGGCTGATGGCGATGCAATGATAGTGGCGCAGTGAGGATGAGGAGTTTATAAGGATGCATACAGGAAGCCCTGCATCTATATCTATACCAACAGCTGCAGCAAGTCAGAACGGGCGACTGATGTGTGTCCCGCACTCATGCTAGCCACAGCTGCGTGCGCCACAACACAGGCATGCATGCTGGCCCGACGAGTTGCTTCAACTCCTCCAACCGACATGGCCTCTTGCGTCCTGCATCGGCTGCGCATGAAGCACCACTGCGCTGGATGCTAACTTGCACCCCATGGTGCGGCTTAGCGGAGGCAACGCTCCCCTCAGACAGAGATACGTAGCATTTCATGAAGGGCTATTGTGCTGCTCTCCCTTGCATCAGGGTGGTGCTATCGGAACCATGGCCCTTCCCAATGAAACCGTAAACCCTCTGTCCATTTGACCTGCTAGTCCCCTCAGGGACTGGATTGACCTGCCCATCGCAGATGCGATCTTGCACAAGTGGGATGGTCCGTGCCACCTTGAACGCCTGTAATACTTCAGCCCTCTGCAAGACCCCAAATTTCCCTCCGAGTTGAACTGCTTGGGCTTCTCTTCCAAGCACCCCAGGCCGTGGATGGCAGAGAGGAGGCTGTGAGACGCCCATGCCCGTGCAACATGGGAGATTTTTCGTAGAAACGATGGTCAAGTCGAGCGTGGGTTCTGAGATCTGCGTCGGGGTTTTCATGGCTTTGGGAGGTTTACGGTTTAAGGTGTAGGACCTGCGGAATACACGGAATAGTCGCCGACTTCAGCTTGCATCTCCCGTTGGGCCTAAAGCCTGAACCAGAACACTACACCCCAAGCCCTAAACCCCAAATCCTGAGCCCAAACCCTTGGGAGGTATATCACTTGGGCCGGGTAATCCTGCGAGACGAGCCCAAGAAGCCCCCAGACCGAACGAGGAGCAGAAGCTGGAGCCTCATGCTAATGGTGCTTAAGCAAGACTGGAGGAGGGAATATAAGGACTACCGTAAGCATTACTACCAGGGATGAGATAAGGACCACAAAGAAAAGGATTAGATAGGGATTGCTATCAAGGATGATGGAGTTCCTGTGTGCAAAATGATTGACATAGGTATGATCTGCACATGAACAGATACATAATCAAACAAATAGCTGAGAGAACACTAATAGCAAATACATAGGTATATGTGTACATATATAAACGTATATACATATATATACACATGTATATATGTGTATATGTATGTATGTATGTATGTATGGATGGATGGATGGATGTATGTATGTATGTATGTAGGTAGGTAGGTAGGTATGCTTGCTTGTATGCGTGTATGCTTGTATGCTTATAAGTA